CACACGGCCCCGCCGACTGGTCGCCAGGGCCCTCGTCCTGGCCTCAAGAGCTCTCGACCCCAAGAGCTGGGCTTGGGCCAGCTGGAGCCCGAAAAGCGGGAGCGCCTCCAGAATCGAAGGCCTCTCCGGGCCCTCTGATGGGGCCCCTACCTTGGTCACCTCAGAGCGCGCAGGGGAAAAGTGCTCAGACCAAAACGAAATCACGGTCACCGAGGGAGACCTGAGCTTTCCGAGCCCCGTCGCATCCCCTTTGGGATGCCTACCCAGGGCGATGATATTAGTATTCTTACTACTCGGAATCGGGCGCCCTGGACAGTAGTCCTGGTGGCCTCTTCCTTTCCTGTCCGAATACAAGTTGCGCAGAACAGCAGGACCGAATTTTCACCTGCCTCGGGGAGGAAAGGCGCTGCGAGCAAGGAGCGCCCGCACACGCGCCACGGCCGCAGCGAGCCGTCTAGGCCAAGCAGTGGACCTCCCCTGTGCAAGCGGGGCCCGCGCTAGCCGACGGGGCCGCATCCTCCTCACAGGCCTCGGCAAGATCGACGGGCCACTCGCCCAGGCCAATGATCTCCAGGGCCTCGACCCCCATGGAGTCGCGGAGGCCCGACGCTGCGACGCGCACCTCCTGCGCCGCCGCGCGCCTCGCCGCGAGGCGGGCGATGAAAAGGCAGCCCTCGATGCAGTAGACGTCGTTGCAGTCCGCTCGGACCGCAGAGGCGCGTTCTTCAGCTCGGGCGCCGGCCAAAGCGTTGCCATCGAGCTCGAACTGCGCGAGCAGCCCGCCCCCGACTGCCTGCTGCCCCAGGCGGGCCCTGACTTTGATGACCTCCGCGTCCTTGGGCATCTCCGCCCGCCCAGCCCAGAGGCGGGCTCGCGGGCTGCCCGCCGCTGCCGCCGCCAGAGGATTGACAGCGTGACGCACCGTCGCAAGGCAGTCGCAGTAGAGCTTGAAGGAGCCCCCAGCAATGGTGTCGGTGAGGACCTTCACCGCGCAGTCCTCTCCGCCTCTGGCCAGCTGCTCGGGCCCTTCCGACAGCGGGACCGAGCCCCACGCCTCAGCGACCAGCCTGCGGTGCTTGTTAAAGACGATGATGGACCAGCCAGCCCCCCTCAGGCTCGGGTAGCTCTGATCGAGCCCTGAGCCGCCCACGAACACGTGCTACCCGCCTGCGAAGGGCCCAAAGCTCGGCCAGCTGGTCGCGCGCTTGAAGAAGTCGCCGGATAGGGGCCTTCTCTGGACCAGCTCGGAGACGTCGGGAAACAGCCCCTAGCGAACAGCTCCGTGACAGGGTGGCCCATGAGCTCGACTCGTGCAGCCGCGTCCCGCAGCAGCGGCTCCAGAAACTCGCGCCCCCAGCCATCGTGAGCCTCGCACCTGAACCGCCTGTGGAAGAGGGGGCCGACTGGGTGGTCGCAGAGCTGGCAGCTCTTCGGGAAGGAGGGGCCCCCCGCTCCGACCCTGGCCTGGCACCAGTAGGTGTTCTGGATGAGGCACCGCAGCGCCCTCTGGTGGCACAGGTCCCACACCTCAGAGCGGTGGCTGACCAGGTCAAGGATCGGCTGCCAGAAGGGTGGGACCCCCCAGCCCCACATGCTGGAGCTGCGCCGCTTCACCTCCTCAAGCCCCATGGCTCGTCGGCAGTCCTGGGAGACCATGTGGCCGAAAAACGCTGGCGGGTAGCGAGTACTTGATATTCGTGACCCAACGCGTCATGGAGCATATATGGGGTCGCCGTTGATGAATCCCCAGCCGACCCGCTCGACCGCGAGCACCACGGCGCTGATCGGTTCCTCCACCAGGCGCCAGGAGTGCATCCTCTCGGCGTTGCTCAGGCCGACGGCGAGGCAAGAGCGGGCTGCCGCCTCGGGGAGCATCTCGACGTAGACCATCAGCGCCGTTTTGGTGACGATCGTCAGGGGTGCCCGCTTCCAGCGACCTGACTGGCCAAGGCTGGCGAGCCCCAGGACGGCCCCGCCAGCCAATCGGCCTCTCGCCTCGATGGCCCCGACGCGCAGCCGACGGAGGCGGCCGCTGGGCACCCCCGTGATCGCCGAGCCCCAAGAGGCGCTCGCAGTGGGGCCAGCTCTGAAGACCCTTGCTCGGCTGATCGAGAGGGGCTGAACAGCCTGGCGAGCTTCTCCCATGGCACCGAGCGGTCTTCTCACGAGCCGCTGAAGTCGTTACACGTCTGTGGGAACCCGACACGGCGTTGCCGCCCAGGTCCCTGCGCACGCCCACGAAGTCGCCCTCCGCGAGGTCCCAGCCTAGCTGGTTCCTGAGGGCGTCGCGCAGCTTGCTGCTGGTAGCCAGCGCCTTGGTCATGTTCCTGCTGAGTGGCAGGCTGGCCCCCTCCATCTTGGCGCAGAAGGCGCGATAGGCAGCGGCCAGCTGCTGGGCTACCATGGTGCGCGGCCCAGTCGCACGGCACGATACATCGTCGACCACGTTGAGGATCCTGGCGGTGGGAGCCGCCAAGGCCGCTGCCCTGAGGGCCGACATGAGGAGGAGCTTGGCCAATGCCGTAGCGCACGAGGAGCCTGCCACCACCGTGCCATTCGCATTGACGGCGTCACTGAGGCAGGTGCCGATGCGGGCCCCCCGAGGGGCCCTATAGGTGCAGCACAGCGCCCGCAGCAGCCCTGGGTCGAAGCCCCACGCTGGCGCCGCTACCTAGAGCTCGAAGTGCCCGGTGTGCTCGTAGTACTTGGGTAAGTCGGCGTAGAAGGACCCAGTTTCCTCGAAGGAGGACTTCGCGTGGGCCACGAAAATGTTGTGGAGCCAAGTTGCCTTGACGCACCCTCGAGATGAAGAGTTGCCCCAGAAGGCCTGCTGGTCGATGGGCCGCTCCCACTTTGCAAATTCCCTGTGTTGCATGCGGGACCAGATCCCGGTAAGCATCGGCATGAGCCCGATGGGCCGCTGACCGCCGTCAGACTTCGGAATGAAACCATGGTGATGGTCCAGAGCTCGCCACGCTGCGTGTTGCGCTCCCATGAATTGAGCAAGATGGCAAGCCTGAATAGAATATCGTCACCGACCTCCAGCAGCAGCCGAGGATGGAAGTTGCCCCACCCAGGCCCGTGGTTCTGGGAAACTTGCGACCACCAGCTTGATATCGTCGGTCGCGATCTGATTCACCCGCACTGGCCCCAAGAGGGGGCCAGTCCTAGAGGGCCCTCCCTAGCGCAGGCTGTCCGACGAGGGCGGCGTCGGCGGAGCCCTTCTCCGGGATGGGCAAAGGCTCGGCATGGGTCTTCTTCGAGACCTCGTGGGCGATGGACCCCTGCCGCTCGAAGGCCAGCTCGGCGAACTCGCCCCACTTCAACGCGCTGGCCTGGGAGTCCGCTTTGGTTTGAGGGAGTTTCTGTGGAACTCACGTCATCCTCACCCCCGGCGCGAAGAGCACGAGTCCAGAGCGGCCTCCGGCACCGTTTCCGGACAGATCCGGTGGATCCGCTGGATCCGCTGGATCCGGTGACGAATCCCAAACCGGCGCCCTCGCTTGAGACATCCTCACAAAACCGGCCCCGGGGGAGGTGCCCAGAGGAGCCCAGAGCGGCCTCCGGCACCGTTTCCGGACAGATCCGGTGGATCCGCTGGATCCGGTGACGAATCCCAAACCGGCGCCCTCGCTTGAGACATCCTCACAAAACCGGCCCCGGGGGAGGTGCCCAGAGGAGCCCAGAGCGGCCTCCGGCACCGTTTCCGGACAGACGGATCCGCTGGATCCGCTGGATCCGGTGACGAATCCCAAACCGGCGCCCTCGCTTGAGACATCCTCACAAAACCGGCCCCGGGGGAGGTGCCCAGAGGAGCCCAGAGCGGCCTCCGGCACCGTTTCCGGACGGATCCGCTGGATCCGCTGGATCCGGTGACGAATCCCAAACCGGCGCCCTCGCTTGAGACATCCTCACAAAACCGGCCCCGGGGGAGGTGCCCAGAGGAGCCCAGAGCGGCCTCCGGCACCGTTTCCGGACAGATCCGCTGGATCCGCTGGATCCGCTGGATCCGGTGACGAATCCCAAACCGGCGCCCTCGCTTGAGACATCCTCACAAAACCGGCCCCGGGGGAGGTGCCCAGAGGAGCCCAGAGCGGCCTCCGGCACCGTTTCCGGACAGATCCGCTGGATCCGCTGGATCCGGTGACGAATCCCAAACCGGCGCCCTCGCTTGAGACATCCTCACAAAACCGGCCCCGGGGGAGGTGCCCAGAGGAGCCCAGAGCGGCCTCCGGCACCGTTCCGGACAGATCCGCTGGATCCGGTGGATCCGCCGACGAATCCCAAACCGGCGCCCTCGCTTGAGACATCCTCACAAAACCGGCCCCGGGGGAGGTGCCCAGAGGAGCCCAGAGCGGCCTCCGGCACCGTTTCCGGACAGATCCGCTGGATCCGCTGGATCCGCTGGATCCGGTGACGAATCCCAAACCGGCGCCCTCGCTTGAGACATCCTCACAAAACCGGCCCCGGGGGAGGTGCCCAGAGGAGCCCAGAGCGGCCTCCGGCACCGTTTCCGGACAGATCCGGACAGATCCGGTGGATCCGCGCCCCGGGGGAGGTGCCCAGAGGAGGAATGAGGAGGAGGAGGAGGAGGAGGAGGAGGAGGAGGAGGAGGAGGAGGAGGAGGAGAAGATGATGGAGCTGCGGGGTGGAGGAGGACAGACGGAGGCAAGAGAAGGATGGAGGAGGAGGAGGAGGAGGAGGAGGAGGAGGAGGAGGAGGAGGAGGAACCTCATCACCCTCGCCAACAAGCGCACGCACCTTCTTCTATATACAGAAACTCCCGATCAACCGCAGAGCGGCCGGCTAGTATGTTTGACCATAATATGCTCGATCATGGCCATGAAGTTGTAGCCCGCGACCGTCTGCAGGCTGACTTCTCCCCGAAAGCTGTCGAGGATGGAGCCGTCGAGCACAGTTATGCCCAGGTCCTGAAACTCACCACGAAGGCGGAGCGCTTCTCGCAGCTGTCGCCCTCGTCGGGGCCTGTAGCCGTCTGCCGAGCCGCCCGGGCCCAGCCCCCACCCGCGCTTAGCTAGGTGACGGAGGGAGAGCCAGTACTGGGTGATAGGCGAGGCCTTGTCTAGTCTGCCTGCATGCACCCTGGCCTCGAGCGGGGCCGCGATCGCCCTGATGCCCCTGGCCCTGCCCTTGAAGTATCGGGCCTCGTCCTCAGGCATACCTTGGAGCGCCTGCAACGCCAGCTAGGATTGCGTGAACCACTCGTTGATGGGGCCATCAGGCTCCGCGTCGGATGGCCATGCCAGCGACTCGACCAACTGGTCCCGCCTACCTCTGGTCACGTCATCGGCCACGTACTCCAACTCGAAGGCCTCGGGCACCCCCTGGGTCTGCACCATGGGCCGCTGCCACCAACCATGCAGAACCGAGGAAACCGCATGATGAGGACCGTTCGGCGTGTCGGCATGGGCCGCGATGGACCCACCATGGATTCCAATGCCGTAGCTGTTGCTGTTCCTGGGCCCAGCACGTAGCTGTTCCTGGGCCCAGCACAACAGCTCCGAGAAGGGCTGGCCACCCAGAGTCCAAGAGCTCCGAGGCCTCGATGTTCCAGTCGCCGCCTATCACGTAGGGGTCGTCCAGTAGCGCGCACCACTCGTGGAGCTCGGCGCGCAGCTGGCGGTTGGACCCCTGCAGGCCCACGGAGTCCTCGAGGTGGACCGAGATCACGGCAATGGCGGTGCCCTTGCCCGAAGCGATCCAGCGGGCGAGGAACCCGCGCGGCTGGCCATCCCAAGGCTGCACGTATCTCGCCGAGCCCAGTAGCTTCGAGGCGGCGATGCCAATGCCAGCCGAGAACGCCGCGGCCGCCTCCCCCGTTCTGAGCAGAGCTGAGCACGCCAGCTGGAGGCCGCATCGGTTGGCCCATCCGCGGGCTTGCTCCCCGGCGGTCTGGGAGGAAAACCGCGTCTCCTGGACCAGTGCGACGCGCGGCTCGATCCCTTTCCTGCGCATCCACTCATGGACGCTAGCGATCGAGTTCCGGGCGTTACCGTTGCACGGCAGACGCGGAGGCCACCATCCAGCGAGCCCTGCTGCAGCGCCAAGGGCCCCAGATGGGGTAGACACTACTCGAGGCTGATGGCTACAACGCCTGCAGCGACAGGCGCATGTCCTGCATGCAGGACCAGACTCTGCACTTCTGTAGCAGCGGGGTCTTCCCCAGCTGGGCGTCGGGCCTCCTGGTCGACGCTGCCTCCGTACCTGGCGGGCATCGACCGCCCCCCCGTCGGGGGGGCCGCACAGGCAGGGGCCATGTGGGGGGGGGGGGGGGGGGGGGCGCTGTCCGAGCGGCCTCGGCCCCCTCGCCGCGCGCCCAAGCAGCGGACAATGAGGGCCACCCGCCCCCCCTCCGCCAGGGGGGCCGCTACCCTGCGAACTGACCAGCAGCCCCGTCGCCAGCAGCAGTCGCAGCAGGCGCGCTGGCCACCTTCTGCTCGGCGGCCCGCTGGCGGGCTGCCTCGGCCGCCGCAGCCCCGAGCTCGGCCGCCTGCGCGGCGCGCCCGCTGCAGCCGCTGGCGGGCCCGCCTGCGGCAGCGGCGGTGGCGGCGGCGGCCGCGGCAGCAGAGGGGGCTGCCTGGTGCCCGGCCACAGCTGCTGCCGCTGGCTCCTGAGCGGAGGCCCCTGCGGGCTCCTCAGGCTGGGTCCGCTCCCTCTTGCGGCGCTTGCTGGCCGCGGCCTCCTCGATGTCCTTCTTGAGCCGCTGCAGCTGCTCCTGGCAGTTGCGCTCGAATACCGCCTGGGCCCCTAGCATGACCCCGTGGCCTTCCTCGCACATCTGGCGGAGGTTGGCCTTGGCCCCCTCCTCCAGCTCGCTGAAGTTCTCGATCGTCTCCACGTCGAAGGTGAAGGCGACAGACTTCGAGGCGTCGGAAGTCGGCCGCGCGATGCCCGAGGCCTGGGCCCGACTGCGCAGGAGCTGGGCATCCTCCGCCTGGGCCCCCGCCAAGCCGGTCGCGACGGTGTCGCGCCAGCCAGAACACGCTCGCCCAGCTGCTCCTCAGCTGCCACCGGGGCGTCGGCGGCCTCGCCTAGCTGGCGCTGGAGGTTGATGCGTCGATCGGTGGCCGACTGCAGCTGCTGATCCAGCGCATTCGGGGCTGCTGCAGGCGGAGGCGGAACGCAGTCGCGGGCCTCCGCGACCGCCCACCGCAGCTTGGCCGCGACGGTCGGGTCGGGGATGGCCAGCAGCTCGCCGAGCTCCGACGAACCAAATGACGACCAGGGGGCGCCAGGAAAGCCACGGCGGCCATCGACAGCGCCGCCCGCCGCTGCGGCCCTGCCCTTGGGCCCCCCCCCCGCCACTGCGGCCTCGGCCTTGGGCCTGGCCTTCGGCGCTGCCCCCCCCGCGCCGCTGCCCGCCCAGACACCATTGCGCGGCGACGGGCTGGCGGGCTTGAGCTCGAGGGACTGACCGCGCGTCCAGCACCGCGTGTTCTTGCAGAAGTTCCACCTGAAACGGCGCGCGGCGCAGGTGGC